ACACACGGACACACGAACACACGGACACACGGACACACGGACACACGCACACACGGATTCACGGACACACGCACACGGATACGGACACGGACACGGACACTGACACGAACACGGCCACGGACACGGCCATGGCCACGGACACGTTCACGGCCACGGCCACGGCCACGGCAACGGCCACGGACACACGGAGACACGGAGACACGGACACACGGACATACGGACACACGGACACACGGACACACGGACATACGGACATGGGGACACGGACATTGGGACACGGGGACACGGACACGAGGACACGGACACGGACACGGACACAGACACGGACACGGCCACGGACACGGACATGGACATGGACATGGACACGGACATGGACACGGCCACGGACACGGACACGTAGACACACGGACATACGGACACACGGACACACGGACACACGGACACACGGACACATGGACCTAAGGTCTTACGGTTTTACGGACGCACGGACACACGGACACACAGACCTACGGACACCCGGTTACGCAGACACATTGACTCACAGACTCACAGGCACACACAGACACATATTCACAGACACACATCTTCAAAGACACCCAGACTCACAGACACACGGACACACAGACACACAGACACACAGACACATACACACAGACACACAGGCACACAGACACACATACACACAGACGCACAGACGCACAGACACACAGAGACACAGAGACACGGACACACAGACACAGAGATAAACAGAAGCACAGAGTCACAGAGACACAGATACACAGAGACACAGACACTCAGAGACACAGAGACACAGCGACACAGACACACAGACACACAGAGGTAATCAGAAACACAGCGACACAGAGATACAGAGACAAAGAGGCACAAAGACACAGAGACACGGAGACACAGAGACACACAGAGACACATAGAGATAAATAGAGACACACACACATAGACACACACAGACACACAGAGACACAGACAGACACACACAGACACACAGAGACACAGGCACACACACTCAGAGACACACTGACACACACACACACACACGCAGACACACACAGACACAGACACAACCACAGACACAGACACACACAGACACACACACATATACACACAGACACAGACACAGACACAGGCACATATACAGGCACAGACACACAGACACAGACACAGACACAGGCACAGACACAGACACACAGACACAGACACAGGCACGCAGACACAGACACAGACTCGCAGACACAGACACAGACACAGACACAGACACAGGCACACAGACACACAGACACAGACACAGACACAGACACAGACACAGACACAGACAAAGACACAGGCACACACACAGACGCACAGACACAGACGCACACACACAGACGCACCCACAGACGCACACGCACACAGACGCACACACAGACACACACAGACGCACACACACAGACGTGCACCACAGTCACACACAGACACACACACACATACACATACACGCACACACACACACATACACACATTGCGAGATCGGAGGCGTAGGACCACCCGAGAGGCGCTTGCACCAACACTGTGAGCGGGCCTCGTCTCTCCTGGCAGCTCCCTCGCGGCACCCTGCGCCTGCTTCCGTTCCGTTCCGCTTCTCCCTTTCTCGCCGACCTCCTCCTCCTCCTCCTCCTCCTCCTCCTCTTCCTCCTTGCCCTCCTCCTCCTCCTCCTCCTCCTCGCCCTCCTCCTCCTCATCCTCCTCCTCTTCGCCCTCCCTCCCCGTCCCCCCCCTTCTCGGGGGCCTCTTCTGGGGGGCTGGCGCGCTCGTCCGTGGTGCAGAGCGTCCCACGTGACCATTCTCGACCATGGCCCGCTGGCGCTCCTGGTGCAGACCTGGCAGGCGTAATCTTGGCAACATGGTCCTGAGCCTCCTCCTCCTGGCACCGCGAGGTCTGCCCCACGGGCACTCGGCGAAACGGAGCAGGCGCGCCCCCTCCCCCACCCGCCCACAGGTCCTCGGCGCTGGCCTCCTGGGGATAGCCGTGCTGGCGCAGTCCCCCCTCTGCCCCACGGGTTCGCGGCGCTGGCCTCCTGGGGATAGCAGCTGGGTGGCGCTGGGCGCATTCTGAGGCTGTTTCTGCTTAGATCCGCCGTCTGTGGGGCTGATCTCACCTGACCTCGGGAGGCGGTGGATCGCGCCCCCTGGGGCCCGAGCGCATCCAGTCCGCTTGCCCCCTGGGGCCGTGGGAGATCGGTCCCCAGGCGCTGGATTTGGACAGTCCTAGACGCTCCGCGCAAAGCCACACCAGCCCCTTCCCCTCCTCCTCCTCCTCCTCCTCCTCCTCCTCTTCCTCCTCCTCCTCCTCCTCCTCCTCCTCCTCCTCCTCCTCCTCCTCCTCCTCCTCCTCCTCCTCCCCCCCCATCCAGAAACGATGCTCAGGCGAGGTGCCCTGATCAGGGACGTGGAGGAGCATGCGGTGGGAATAGCGGGCCGGAGAGGCCGTCGCACTCCGAGAGGGGGAGGATGGAGGAGGTTGGTGGCGGGGGGAGGACGGGGAGGAGGAGGGGGAGGAGGAGGAGGAGGAGGAGGAGGAGGAGGAGGATAATGAGGAGGAGGAGGAGGCGGATGAGGAGGAGGAGGAGGAGGAGGAGGAGGAGGAGGAGGAGCAGAACGAGGAGGAGGAGGAGGAGCAGGACCATAGTAAACCAAAGTCACCAACGATGTTGGACTTAACCCTCCCTCGAAGCTCCCTCGTCAAAAGCCCCGGCAACCGATCATTTCCATTGAGGGAACTGCCTCGTTGGAAGACACCCTTGAAGACCCTCAAGCATGCCAAAACATGGTTCCCGGGATTTCAACGCCACGGATCAACCTGTCTGCTGCGTCTTGACGATCCTGAATCGTACCAGAACGCCATTTTTGGGACACCAACACTGCGACTCAACATAACTGTTGCACCCGCCTATCCTGAACCCGTCCACAACATCATTTCTGGTACGTTGATCATGGGAATCCGTGGAACCCTTTCAAGTTTTATGAACGAATGTGCGCGGCGCTACGGCGAGAGCCGCATTTTGAAACGGAACCGCCCTCAACTTGTGAAACTTTTGCAAATTTTAAAACGATTGTACGCGGCGCGAAGGCGAGAGCCACATTTTGAAAAGGAACCGCCCACAATCCGTGGCACTTTTGCAAATGTTTAGAATGACTGTGCGCGGCGCTTAGGCGAGAGCCACATTTTGACAACGATCCGCCCTCAATCCGTGAAACTCTTGCAAATGTTTGAAACGAATGTGCTCGCCGCTAAGGCGAAAACCACATTTTGAAATGCCACGCCCTCAGTCCGTGAAACTGTTGTCGCCATTATCTTCAGAGGCATAAGTGGTGAGGGGCTCTCAGACGCAACGCCCAGCCCGCCCTGACAACTGGCCTCGGGGTGCGACAGGGAGAAGTTATCTATAAGGAGCAGGAATGGAGGAGGAGGGGGAGGGGGAAGGGAGGGGAAGGAGCAGGAATGGAGGAGGAGGGGGAGGAGGGGGAGGAGCAGGAATGGAGGAGGAGGGGGGAGGAATGGAGGGGGGAGGGGGAGGAGGGGGAGGAATGGAGGAGGAGGGGGAGGAGCAGGAATGGAGGAGGAGGGGGAGGAGAAGGAGGAAGATGGATGAGGAGGAGGGGGAGAGGGATGGGGAAGGGAGGGAAGGGGAGGCGGCGGCGACGGGCCCAGCAGCAGCACGAGTCTGACTTCGGCCGAGGCTGCAGCCAACAAGCTAGCATCTCATGCGGTGCCTGGCACGTCGGGGGCTCGCGCGCTCCTCGACACACAGCGCTCCTCCTCCTCCTTCTCCTCCTCCTCCTCCTCCTCCTCCTCCTCCTCCTCCTCCTCCCCTGGTCCACACCCCCGCCTGCACGCCCGCCCGACCGCCAAGACACCGAGGCTCGCCCTGCGGGCCCCCCCGTTGAGACGGTGGGAAGGGAGGCGCGGCTGGAACGTCTTCAACGTTGAAGCGGCTGAAGCTCCTCAGCGCTTTTCGGGGCCACCATCGAACAGCTGGCAGGCAGGAAGCCATAATCAAAGCGAGAGCGCGCCAGCACCCCAGACCCAGGAGCAGGAGCCGAAGGCCAGGCGCCCCAGGGAAGGAACCAAGGACAAGAAACAGCTACGGGTTTCCACGATGGGCCGCTCTGATCAGTCTACGGCTGCCGACGTCTAATTTCTGAGAGGGGGTGAGGGGAGGGAGGAGGAGGAGGAGGAGGAGGAGGAGGAGGAGGAGGAGGAGGAGGAGGAGGAGGAGGAGGAGGAGGAGGAGGAGGAGGAGGAGGAGGAGGAGGAGGAGGAGGAGGAGGAGGAGGAGGAGGAGGAGGAGGAGGAGGAGGAGGAGGAGGAGGAGGAGGAGGAGGAGAGGATGAAGAGGGCGAGCAGAATGGCCAGCGGCCTCTTGGATGCCCCTCGAAATCTTTTTTCGGATGTCTCTTGGGAGCTTTTTGGAGTTCCGTTGGGGCGTCTTTCGGGCTCCGTGGCGGTCCTGGGGGCCTGTTGGAGCGTTGGGCGCCTTGGGGGAGCCCCTTGGAGCCTCTTGGCGCTCTCTTGGGGGCCTCTTGGGGACCTCTTGATGGCCTCTTGGAGCCTCTTGGGCGCCTCTTGGGGCTCTATTGGGGCACTTTGGGGGCACTATTGGGAGCCCTGTGGGTCATCTTGAGGCCATCTTGGAGGAGGTCGATCAAAAGAAGGCGGAGCCAATGAGGCCCAAGCTAGGCCAACGCTTTCGTAGCATCTGTGATGTGTGCCTTCTTGCCGAGGCCTTCTTGGACGCTCCAGTGGGTCGCGAAACGCCCGCCCAGGTCCAGGGGAAGGGGGACGGGGGAGTGGTAAAACCCTCAACGCAGGGGAATAAAGGGGGGGTTGGAAGAGCACGCCGGCCAAGCCACTCACGCCCGAAAGGGCTGGCCGGATTTCTGGCCTCGCACCACGCCGTGCACCCCCTGCTCCCTTCGCCCCTCTCTGGCCCTTCTTCCCACAGGATAAACGCGAAGAAGGAGTGGATCAGGAAGCGCCGAGAGCAGGCGCCCGGCCCCCCCCCCGCGCCCCGCCCTCCCGCCGTGGAAGGGCCCCCCCCCCCCGCGACCAGGGCTCGCATCGGGGAGCCGCTCGTCTCCGCTCCTCCTCCCTCCCCATCCAAGCGTGCGTTTCTGCTCCTCCGCGTTCTCGCCGTCGTCTCTTGCCGCCGCCGCCGCGTCGACGAGCAGGGTTTGGCAGGCTTGTCGCTGCCCTGGTGCCTCAGTTGGGGGCTCTCTTGTGGGCTCTGCGTGGGGACCCCTGGGGGTATTCAGGGACGGGGGCCTCGCCACCCTCGCCCGCGCTGCTTCCTCGTCATGTGTTCGCACATTCCAAACACCTCCGTATGCATGTTCAATGTTTTGTTGTCGGCCCGCCCCGTGCGGGATTTCCAAAACCTTGGGGTGCATATGCCACCACACGTTTCCAAGGGGCTGCGCCGCGCCGCGCTGCCGCTGGGGCATCAACGACTGTCTCCCGAGGCAGTTCATTAATTTCAGCAAGCACGTTTTGTTCACGTGTCGCGCTCATGGCATAATATTGCCCACTTCGCGCGCTGAAGAGGTGGCCTCCGCTTGGTCACGGGTGGCAAGGGGAATTGAATTGTCATGGCTTCAAACCTGTCCAGCAACCCGCCGAAAGGGGCCGTCATCGTAGCTTCGACGGCACTATCTCGCAGTCGTGTTTGCCATGGGAAATCTGAGTGTGAATGACCGTGTGGGCAGTCTTTTTTTGTGGGTGGTGTAGCACACGCACGCGCACGCAATCATCAGACACTCTGCGCCTTGACGTGTTATACGGGTACACGTTGTCTTCGATGGTCGGCGTATATGCGCGTGTTGCCACTTTGCCTCCGTGGGGCCACGCTGGCGGCTTCTCACGTGGGTATCAGGCTCTCGGCAATCATGCGGCCTTGTACCACGGTGTGCCACGCCGCATGCTTGTTCACGTAAGAAGGAACGCGCGCCCCAATCAGTACACGCGCTCGTTCGCTCGAGCCTCGCCGCCGAGTTCGGCCAGGCGTTTCGCAATCGACAGCTTCGCAGCGCGTCTCATGACTTGGGCGATGTGCTCGATGAGGGCCGTAGTCGCGCTGTGACCGCCGGTGGAGATGGCGGCGGGGCATGATTCTTCAGGGCCGAGAGGGGCCGTCGCTGGCTCTCGCCTGCAACGACGAACGTTGAAGGGCAGAGAAGGGGGCGCGGTTTGATGCGACGCGCGCCGCGCAAGCCATCGGCGCGCAAAACGCCAGCGCGTCAAATAACTGGGGGGCGCGCCTCGCGAGCGGGGCATCTCCGCCATGCAAAGACTGCGGTGTGCGTGGAAACGCTCGTTGGATTTCCAGGATGCACCTGGATTGTCAGGGCGGCCCTAATAATTTGTCTGCGCGCTGACTCCGCGCAAATTCAGTGCCGGAGGAGGGCGAGTTCACTTCGTTCGTGTCGCTGTTTTGAATGACTGGCGCGTCCGCGGAGGCATGGCGGCCCGCGGCCGACGGCGGCGCCCCCCGTGGCCAGGCCCGATCAATCGAGTTGTGCGCAAGAATTCGGGGAAGGGGACAGGGGGTCGCAACGCGTGCGCGGCTGCGAGACTTGGCGACTACCCGTCGCAGTCGAGCGCCCGCCATGCTGTCTTCCCTCAGCGCGCTCGCGAGCTTCAGGCGTGCGAGCGACGACTTCGGCCGAGCGGTTTCAGGGCGCGGGGCGCCGGGCTGGAATGCGAAGAGGGCAGTCTGGCCCCGCGGCCCACGCGTGCGGTGCGATCGGCGGGCGGGCTGGCGCCAAATTGCGGGGCGCGCCGCCGGCGAAACCGGCCGGGGCCAGACTGCGCGGGCGCGTTCCAGCGAATCAGGGCCGTTCGAAACAGGTTCGGGGATCGTGTTTGGGCGCGCGATATTCGCGCGCGGACTGCGCCCCCCCCGCCCTCGTGTGCGCTGGCGTCCTGAGCGGGGCGCGGCGCTGACTGCTCGGCGGCGGGTGCCTGTCGCGCTGTTAATGGGCGCGCGCGGTCGCGTTCGGTCGCGCGCGGGCGGGGCCTCGCTCTCGAGGTCGTGGGAGTGATCTTGCTGACGCGGCGGAGTCTATGCGCTGGCGCCCGCGCGTTGCACGGCCTGTGCGCGCGAGTCCTTCGCGCGAATCATTGGGCGCGATGGCCTTGGCCCTGGCCCGCCCCGCCCGCGCGGGGGTCCGCGTCGGGGGGGCCGCCCCCGTGATCGATGATGGATTCGCTGGACGAGCATTGGGTTCCTTCGCGATCGCGAGCGCTGCCTCGAGGGGCGCTCGCGCGGGCCTCGCGGCCCCCTCGCGGCAGTGGCAGCGATGGCCCAGTTCGCGCTTGCACGCGAGACCAGGCCCATCGCGATCGGCGGGGCGGGCGCCGCTTGAAAGCCTGCGACTTCAGCGACGCTGGCGTTGCATTGTAATCGGGCGATCTTGAGCTGGCGCCCGTTTCGCGGGCGCGCCGCTGGTTCGTTGTCTTCCGAGTTGGCCAGCTCGAGTGCGCGGCAGTTGCGCGGCGGGCAAGGTGGGGGCGCGCGACGGTGGCGTCGTCCGAGCGGCAACTTATGGCGCGCAGGGTAAATGCGGCCAGCGGGGCAACGCGTCGCGCGCAACATGACGCGTCGGGGGAACGTGGGTACTGGGCATCCATATTGGCAAAGGCGGGTGGGCCCGCCGGTAATCTGGCAGGCGCGCAGTCATGCATCCATCATTGCTTTCCTTCAAAAGACGCTGGCGCGCGCGCGAGCGCGGGCAAACGAGGCGGGCGCGCTGCGGCGGGATCCGCGTCGCGGTCGAGCCGCGCCGCGGCCCCTCGCGCATCGAGTCAATAGGTCTAGCGGGGGGCGTGGAGATGCAGCGCGAGGGTCTCGTGCCGCCGGTATGTTTTGGGATGCCCGGGGCCTTCGCGGGCGTCGCTGCCCCGAGCTTGTCCGAGCGTTTTTTTGGGGGGGGCGCAGACCTGTGGGCGACGTGCTCGGTCCAGCGGCGAGTGCGCGCGGGTGGCCTCGGCGCTCGAAGCATGGGCGCGCGCGCCGCAAAGGCGCGCGGCGCTCGCGGGCGGCCGACGCGGCGCGCGGCGCGCGGGCGCGCGTCCGCATGCGGAAATGCGCGGTCGCACTTGCTTGGCCCTTCCGGCCATCTCGGCGCGCGCGCGGCTATTGGGGCGGCCGATTGCGACGCGGCCCGCGACCCGGCCCGCGTGGACAGGGGCTGGCGGGCCCGCCCTCTCGGCTCGCGCGCGAGGGCGACGGCGCGTCGCAACGCGCGCGGGCTCCAGCGCCCTTGAAGGTTGTTCTGCAGCAGATGCGACGACGTCGCGGGCCCGGCAATGCGTCCGGCCCCCGGGCGCCGGGCGTCGATGGGCCCCGATAGAGTAGAAGATTGATATCGCCGTGGCGCAGCGCGATCTCCAACCCGAGCGAGAATTCCCGGCCGGCGCGGCGCCACATTAATCGCGGCGCGGGCACAGCGCGCGCGCGCGCCCCGCGCAGGCTTGCGCGGGGCGATCGCTCTTTCGCTCGGGTCGCTTTGACTTTGGGCCATGGTCTTTCGCCGCGCGCGTTGCGCTCGCGCGGATGCCGCGCGGGGGTCTGCGGGCGCTGGCGCTGCGAGAGCTTGATGAGAGAGATGATTTTTCATGGGTTGGCAGAGAAGACGCCGCCCGCGGCCTCGCCCCCGGGAGAGACAACGCGGCGCGTGCAGAACGCCTGCGGCGTCGGGGGCGCCCAGGAATCAGCCGCGCATGTTTTGGCCGCCTGGCCCCGGGTGGATCGGCCCCGCGGGAGGGCGCCGTGTCGCGCCGCGAAGTCCAGCGCGATGGTTCAAATTCACAGCGCCGCGCAGGGTGGTGGGCCCGCGCAGGCGGCGGCGGCGGCGAATTGCGTTCGCGGAGGAGAGGGCAATGACGAGTTCATCTTCAAGTTGTGGGCCGGTTCGACAGCCGAGGGCGTCGCGGCGCTGGGCCGCGCGCGGCCGTCGGGCGCCGCGCGGGCGAGGCGCGTGAGATGCAGGCGCCGATGGGGAACGTGGACTTTCTTCGCTACCGCGCGTGTGCGGGCAGACAGGGGCGCCGACAACGCGGCGAAGTGGACCAGTGCATCCTGAGTGGCGACTCCTGCATTCGCGGCGTGGGCCCGCGGTGGAATCGCGGTGCAACAGCTGGTTCTTCGCCGCCGCGCCAAGTGCCCAGAAACATTCCCCTTCTCGCTGTGCCAATCTCTTCCTTTATTGGCTCCTCGCCTGGCGCGTCTGCGCCTCGCGGCCCTTTCTCCCCCCCCCCCAGCAGGCCTCGCGCGGTGATCAGAGTCTCGCGTTGCTTGATGCCCCGCTCGTTTTTTTTGGGGTTTGCCTGGCATTTCAGTTTTCGTTTTGAACTGTGTAGTTGGAGTCTCGCTGATCGGGAAATCGCTCGGTGGCCCTTGTTTGATCTCTTCCCGTAGCCATGATTTGTTTGTTGCCGTGCCGAATTGCATAGTGTTGTTCGCCAGTGTTTCCATGTGTGTGTGTGTGCGTATACATATATATATATATACACATTATAATTAGTAAACATATTATAGATATTATAGATATATGGATCGGTATAGTCACACATGTGTTCGTATCCATATACATGGTCGTTCGCTTTGCGTGCCGTATCTGGGGATATCCGGTCCATCCCGCCACCGTGGTCGGCCTCTGAACAAATGGTGTTTTCTGTTGTTCTGCGCTGCGTCTTTGGGGTTCCTGGGGGGTTCTCGGCGGCCTTTTGGGGGCGCATTGTGCGCTCCTCCTGGAGCTTTTTTTCGGGGGCCTCCAGGAGGCCTTTTGGGCCCTTTTTCGGACGCCTCGCGGGCCGTCGGGGGGATTGTGGAAGGCCCCAGGGTTCAGTGCGTGCCCCCCCTTTGGGAGCCCTGCTGCGGCCGTCTGGGGGCCTCTTGGGCTTGCGTCTTGGGGGCCCGTTGGTCCGTCATTTGGCGATCCTGGCTTGTCTTGGGCCCAGTTGGGGGTCGCTTTGGCGCTGGGGGGCC